GGCCCGGGGGGGGTGGGGGGGGGGGGGGGGTGTACTCATAGTCGTGCATGCCGTAGTCGTTAGACCATTGAAGACTTCGCATCCCTACAAAGCCGGGACGGAGCACGCCGGGTTCTCACCGGACCAGGCTCTCACATCACCAAGCGCGAAGCGCCGTGAGGTATTCGGCGAGTCGCATGAAGGGAGGTGTGCTCATAGTCGTGCATGCCGTAGTCGTTAGACCATTGATCTCGGGGGAGGGGGGGATACATTGTGCAACCTACGGTAGACGCCCCGACAGCCAGCACACCCACAAGGCTTACAACTCACGCGGGGTGTGGGACGAGATCGCGATGACATACTGCTGCCGTTGTGCCTGGCGCTTGGTTTGAGGCGAACGGAAGAGAAGAGGGGTCGCCAGAAAAACCTATCCTTGAGTAAGATTGCCGTTGCTAACCACAGCTCTACACGAACGGGGCGAAAATGCGTGTGAGTTGCACCGATATCGTGAAGTTGTTGTGAGGTGTAAGAAAGAATGGGGGTGCGAACATGTACATCTGCCAAACGAATTGTGTAGGCTGCGTGACTTCCGTCCGAGGAAAGGTAAGGCTAGCGATTTCCCTACGACACCGCAAAGAGCTGTGGCGGTAAGGGGCAGAAAACAAGGTCAGGGCTTAACGTGCTTCGGTTACTTTGTGTGCGCCCACGCCACGCACCTGTAGCACGACGCTGTAGCTTCCGCGGACATAGGTCTTGGACCTCTTGTGGTAAAACCTCGCCGTCAGGAGCTTCCTCTTCATCACCACCGACTTGAGGATGCCGTACGTGAGCACTGTGCCGTACCAGAGCATGGAGCTGTGGATCTGTGCACACCATTCGCGGTTGGATGGCACGTAACGTGGTGGACAGGTTGGGACAAGCAGGACGAGGAAAATCTGAACCAGAGTCTGTTCGGCAATGCAGGACATTCCGGAATACAGTTCACGTTTGCGGTACAGAGGTATGCTGTTGACATCTTCCACCCTCAGGTGTTTCTGGTTTCGTTTTCTTCGCCTCAGACAGTTCGCAATCGAGACGTGTATTGTTTGATTGTGTTGAAATGGTCGATTTTCCCCGAAAAAAAACAGTTGTGCTCGACTCTGTCAACAAACCCAAGCCTCTTCGCGGCTGAGGCAGCAAAAGCAGCGGTAAGGCGGCTCGTGCTCTCGACAGACAGATTGAAGTCCTACGTGACACGCCGAAAAAAACAAAAAAAAAATTAACGTAGCGTCTTCGTTTCAAACTCATAAAATAAAAGAGCCCAAGCACATCAGAAATTAGCCCCCAGGACCAGACAGAAGGCTAGACAACTCAACTCAAAAGCATACATCCCAAACCTAACTACCTAATACTCCTAATAAAGTATATGGTAAGGCTAGACAACTCAACTCAAAAGCATGACGTCTCAAACCTAGCTACCTATACTCCCTAATAAAGTACATGGTAAATATCTCACGATCAGGAATAACAGGAAGATGCGGTAGTTCTCCTCCCCCACGCACTGGTTGAGCCACGCGCAGTGGTGGTCGAAGCGAGGGACACAAACGTTACACACCCGGCAGTGCTTGGATCGCGCCGGCCTGTTCACACGACACGGGCGACACACACAAGCATCAGAGTATCGGCGGCTAACAACACCCCGGGGATATTTCCACGCCAACAACAGGAATGACAAATAAAGGCATGCAGCAGCAGCAGCAGCAGATGATGATGATGATGATGGAAAGCAAGCAATGGGCCATTGGGAGTCTGGCCAATCAGGTTTGGAGACCCTGCAACATGTGTGTGTGTGTGTGTGTGTGTGTGTGTGTTTTCGGGCTGGTTGCCTGTTCAACCCTCTTTCGTTTCCTCGGACTAAGCCACCACACACAAACAACCCTTTCCCCAACCGTTCGCTCACTTTGCCACCTGGCAAGTCTTGCAGAACCCTTCCACGAACACCACTCCGTCGTGCGGGTACAGCCCGGCGTGCCTCCCCCCCCCGGCGTTCCGCCCGGGAGCAGCAGCACCCCCTCCCTCCCCCGCCCTCCTTCGCCGTCGATTCGAAGCGCCTTCGGCAGCGGGAGCCCTCACGGACCCCGGGGGGACGTTGCACGCTAGCACGAAGGACCCGATGCAGGCGGCCATGACCAGGTAGCCTGTGGCCGTGTGGTAGGGCCACGGGAGGACGTCGTTGGGAAGGCGTGGAAACCCCTGGTTTGTACCGGTTGGGGGGGGGGTCGGGGAGATTGGATGAAAGGCGACACGGCAACGACGAAACATGAACTATAATACTTCGTCGCGATGAATTCTGGGATGGCGACCGAACCGGCAGCATGTTTCTTTGTAGTAGTGCAAGTTAGCGAACGTCGATGATCTGCACAGAGGTCGTGGTGTTGGAACTTGCAAACAGGGACTATTCATAAAACAGGGGCGGGCTACCGCACAGCCATCCGATTTGGACGCTCCATTCACAGTGTCAGCGTGGGAAAAGGCAAGCTCCGTGCCGCCCCCTCTGCGCAACGGGCCAGCAAAACGAGTACGACCAAATTTTACAGCGGCGTGCACGCCGTCGAAGAACACTTAAAAATCCCAGATCCCCCGCCACAAAGCACACGGCTTTGGCCGAAAAGACGCAAGTATAAAAAAGTTGCAATAAACCGCATTTGCCGTTCGTTTGAGCGCCGAAAAGATGGGGTATTAAATAGCTATGGACAATCGGCGTCCCTGTCATCGCCGCCCACCCGGGCGGGCCCGCCCGCCCTCAAAACACACGCACGCGCCTCACCCACCTCGAAGATGAAGCAAATGAAGGAGCAGTTGACGATCACCATGTAGAACCCCTGCATGAGGCGGTTGGGCTTGTTCATGACCCAGTTGCCGCACTCCGAGACCTTCCCCGCGCAGGCCTCGCCGAAGACCAGGCGCATCCCCGCGCTTAGCATCCGCGGGCCCCCCTCGCACACGAGGCGATACAGCTGCCCGCCGTAGCCATGACTTCAGCGCATTCCGTAGGGCGGGGGAGGGGGGAGGGGGGTGTACTCATAGTCGTGCATGCCGTAGTCATTAGACCATTGACCTCGCATCCCTACAAAGCCGGGACGGAGCACACCGGGTTCTCACCGGACCAGGCTCTCACATCACCAAGCGCGAAGCACCGTGAGGTATTTGGCGAGTCGCATGAAGGGTGAGCTGCATCCTGCTAAGGGTGTTCGGCATCTTGTGCTTACTTCCTTGCGTACGGATGACAGCTACGTATGACTTAATTTATTTTCTGGTGCTTTCACTTCCAGAGACAGTTGCAAGCACTGTGTAACTGCCTCGAGGGTGCTTGACCATTTTAACACAACGAGGTGCGATCATCCCCCGTTGCGCGGAGTGAGGGTCCTCCACCCCGCACAACATGATCTATTCGACCACCATTATGGTTACCGCCAAAAAAAAAAACCGAGGTAAAAAAAAAAAACGGTAACCTGGTTGCCGAGTTCACGAAGTGAATTGGCTTGTTTTACAACGTCGTTGCCAAGCGACGAAAACCCAATTCCACTGGGGGGAGGGGGGGGGGGGCAA